TTCTTGTATATTATTTGGACTATTTTTATTGCAGATTTGGTTTTTTTAGAAACTCCATACAAAATTATTCCATGAGGTTAAGACACGAAGAACAAGAAGAGGAGACCATCGAGCATATCCTCTACGATTGCCCGATGCTCTCATTTATTAGAAGATTTGTGTTCGGCGAGTATCGGCTAACACCGGCCGATATAAGAGAAGCACCTCTTGGCGACGTTGTCAACTACATTAAATCTGTAAGATGGCTCACGAGCTAGGAGGTGACTATCATCTTAGGAAAATGCACAATGGGCCTAGTGAGATCTAAGTGCCGTGGAGTAACCCACCCTACACACGTTACAGTTACAGAAATATCGTGCGGTTTACGAGATCTCTGTATCACGAGGGTCGGATTCCATGCAAATAGTTGGTAACAAGTTTGCTTGGCCTAGACAGTAGCGCGCTAAGCGCTTACGGTTGAACTACACCTGTCAGTTTCAGTCGATAAAGTGAACACTACTAATTAAAGCGATTTAAAAATTAGCGGGCTTAATAATTTAGATATTTGAAGCAATTTGAAGTAACATTTTCCTATTTGACAACTTTTACTTACAACTACTAAACAAACAATAAGTTTAGTGAATTTTGTTGTAGGTAAATGTTGAAAAATGGAAAATGTCACTTGTTTTAACTGAAAAATAAAATTAGTTGTAAAATAAAACACATTTTTAACAAGTTTAATTTATTTAGAATTATCATGTAATTACATGTGTCTCATTATCTTCTAACTGCATATTTTGAACATAACACTATATCACACACTAAATTACTGAAAAATAAAAATATAATATGATAACCAGCATAGCACATGACAATGTTTTTATTATTAAAAAAACCGGATATAGTTTTTATAAAAAGTTAAAGTAGTTAATTTATAAACACAATTGCTTTAATGTTTTAAATATCCCTTATTAATCCAAGGACAAATCATTCTAATTCTAATATTCTTATACTTATTGTCCCTTTAAGGCCTTTTCCCATCTATTTCAATCTAGAATAGTTGTAATGCCTATTTCGGGTAAAATAAGTCTCCAGCTTCAATACGGGTGGGCTTTGAAACTCACCCTAATTAAGAAACACATTTATGTACATTCCAAAAATCTCCATACCAAGGAATATCTAAAACAAAACAAAAATAAAGGTGCAGTGTGTATCTTAAAATTAAAAATTAACACGAGTCATAACTTTTTTAAATTCTTACATTTTTCTTGCAATAAAAGGTATAAAAATTTCAATAAAAATAGAAAACATCTGATTTATGATCTTAATAGGTGAACTATCCAAAAATTAACAAGTTGACCTAAATAGCATATAAGTTTTTGAACATATTTTGGGTATTATTACAAATCATTCGCCTTTTTTCATGATGGTCTTTATGAGTAAAACTATTGTATAAAGAACTAAAGTTCTTTATACAATGGTAAAACTAGGATGAGGTTCTATCTCGGGTTCTACAATATTTGTTTGTAAATTGGCTTCACACATTTCGCTCACAACTCCTTTCATTATTTTGACCACAAATGTTTAAAATGTGGATCCATTTATCTCTAGAGTAATAATAGCAGGAAAAACATAAAATTTCTTGTTAGTTTTGTGAGAAAAATACCTACTTCTGCAATTAAAATTTAAATTAATCAGAAGTTAATAATTTTCTTAAGAACCTCCTTATAGTTAAATTAGTTAAATCTAACTTACACTTAATTAATACAATTTACTCACCTACATTTGAAAAAATATCACCTGCATTTGAAAATGAAAATAATATCAGGTTGACATATTTATAGCAACATAACCTAATTTATATTCAAAGCCAGATTTACACCATCTATCTAATAATATTTAAATCTAGCTTTAACTTTAAATTTATTAACGATTATCCCTGTATTTGATCACACATTATATTAAAGTGAAATTTAAAGTGGTAAATCAGTAAAATTATTGATTTCTTTGTCATTATTTTTGAAAACATATTTTTTTATGGGTGTAAAACGGGTTTGAATTTAGTGATAACAGCGCGCTAAGCGCTTACGGTTCAACTACCAACAAGGAAACAAGTTCCGCAATTTATTCAAACCTTCTCTTTTTATTTTTCTATGCTCTGTATACGCAGATTAAATCCGGACTACCCTGTATAGTTTATATATCTTGCTCATCTATATGTAAGGCCCGTGTTACGACATCTGTAATCTTTATAACTATTTATAAATTGTAAGATTAGACTTCTATTTTAGTAGGATTAGTGCTCGTAATGCCATCTATGCTCCAACTTCATATAGAAGCTTTTATCCTCACAGTCATATGTAGTCTTTGGCCACTAAGTATTAAAATGCATACATAGATGTCGCGACAAGTAGGCATCGAGTTAAAGTTGCTTCGGGAAATATTAAAACTCCACCCACAATGCGTCGGAGTGGGATACACTGCAAGATGTTCGAAAAAGAGGGAAGGTTTGATTATATCTCGAAACTATTCTAGTAGGGTAAGGAGATTACCATACCATAAAACATACAATTTATAATAATGTGGTAACTACTAAACTGACATTATTATGGTTACAAGATGGACGGAAATCCACAATAATTAGAGATAACATCTAAAACGTATCTTTCGAATACAAAATAAACAAAAGAGACTTAAGTAGCATGAAATCTCACTCCAATAATAAAAGCATGGGCAGAAATATTGTCAAAAGGACCACAGACGTATAAACAAATAGAAAGAAAATTCAGAAATTCATAGAAATTCATAGAAATTCATAGAAATTCATAGAAATTCATAGAAATTCATAGAAATTCATAGAAATTCATAGAAATTCATAGAAATTCATAGAAATTCATAGAAATTCATAGAAATTCATAGAAATTCATAGAAATTCATAGAAATTCATAGAAATTCATAGAAATTCATAGAAATTCATAGAAATTCATAGAAATTCATAGAAATTCATAGAAATTCATAGAAATTCATAGAAATTCATAGAAATTCATAGAAATTCATAGAAATTCATAGAAATTCATAGAAATTCATAGAAATTCATAGAAATTCATAGAAATTCATAGAAATTCATAGAAATTCATAGAAATTCATAGAAATTCATAGAAATTCATAGAAATTCATAGAAATTCATAGAAATTCATAGAAATTCATAGAAATTCATAGAAATTCATAGAAATTCATAGAAATTCATAGAAATTCATAGAAATTCATAGAAATTCATAGAAATTCATAGAAATTCATAGAAATTCATAGAAATTCATAGAAATTCATAGAAATTCATAGAAATTCATAGAAATTCATAGAAATTGATAGGTATCTGCTAAACAACTATAGACTCATGAACAGTGCCATCGAACCGAAGACAGGATGGCGTCCACAAAAAAGTAATTTCTGACCAGTATATTAACATTTATTTTTTTTATTCGAGTGTACATTTGTCAACGTATTCATCCGTTTACCAACAGTAAAAAAATTACATTCATTTGTGTTAGCTGATATAAAACTGCACTTGAAATAGTATAAAAAATATAACGAAATTGTTCAGACCATCAATTAAACACATATATCTTACTGTAGGTATGGAACCCGCTTATCAAGCAGATTGAAAAAATAGGAAAAAAAAACAGTTTCCGTCTCTCCGTTGTTCGACTATTTGTCAGCAAAGACAGTTCTATTTTCCAAAACATACACACCACCCAATTGTGAACAGAAAAAAACGACTATTATTTGTCATATATACCCTTAATGATTTTAGTCAGCTGCTAGACTTCATTGTTCGATAAACCCCAGCGAGAGTAAATAAAAGAATAGAGAAAGACTAATGGACATCTCAAAAGAGAAGGTTTTTTAATTGAATCTTTTCTAAGATCATTAGTTTATATAGAAGAACTCTCATTACAATCAGATTTTTTTTATTGAAATGACAGTTACTGAAATTAAATCGTTTCATAATTTCATAATTTGAATATTTTTTTATTGAAATACTTTTAAATATTTGGTAAATATGTTTATAGCCAACCGTCAATAAAGCTATGCATTAGCAATTTGCGGAAGTAAGCAAATACTTCATCTCACTGTAAAAATCAAATATTTTATCTGTTGCTAATATTTATCAACATAGCCATGACCATCTGAGAGAAATAGTCTGTATTCGCTGTTATTTTTCTGTTTCTGTTGTAGACTACTGTATTTTGCATATTTTAGAGGGCATGTCAAACTTATGTTGACGTTAGCGTTTGACGTACCGCCACCATCTTGATTTTTTTGTAAATGTCAACGTCAGTTGAGTGATATGTGGAAAAGTTTATTTTTTCCTCTTTTTAAGAATACTAAAGATGTACCAATCCGTAGATAATAACGGAAAAGTTTTCGATTGATTTTTTACTTTTTATCCTGTATTATTATGTAAATGAAATTATGATATAAATAAAAGTGCATCTGTTTTTTAACAGACTTCGAAAAAGGAGGAGGTTCTCAATTCGTCGGTATATTTATTTTTTTTTTTCAGCGATAAGTCTTTAACATGGTGTCCGATTTCAATGATTCTTTTTTTGTTAGAAACAGGGCACTTCAGGGGTAGTCCCATATAAATATGGTCAAAATCTTCATTTTTTATGTATGTTTATCTGTAATTCTTTACTACCTTATCCGATTTCTATGATTCTTTTTTTTTAGTAAGGGGGTACCTCAGGGGTGGTCCCTTATAAATTTGTTCAAGATATGGTAATGGCATCTGCACGATTTAATTTAAAAAAACTCAATTAAAAACTGAAAGTTGATTTCCTTCTTAAGCAAGGCACAAATTGAGATACGTATGGTGCGTGTGAGTTGACACAGTACAGCGTGTTCTTTTGTAAATCACAGGATTAAATAAATTGATGCAAATTGGTAAAAAGCGCAAATCTATTAAAAAGTTCGCGCTGTTCTGATCCCATTAAATGCGTGTCTCTTTGCGCCTAGCCTTACGGTTTTAAGTTTAGTTTCTTGATACAAATTTTATTTTTCAGATATGTCGCAAAGATCCATGTGAGTTCTGCTTATGTTTGGATGGCGAAATGTTCTGTTGGTGGCAAGATTGTCCCCCAACTATGGAAGGACCATGTCGTGATCGAGGACCATTTTCTCCTTGTTGTAAGTCGAATTTAAGGCGGCGTTAGCAAATTTATAGGCATAGGAAAATTTTTGAACATATAAGACTGGCATTCTAGGCAATAAATTCATACGAATTTACTTTTTAATATTATAATGATATTGAACTAGTTCCTGAACATATAGAAAAGTGGAAAACATTGAGAAAGTGGAGTGGACAGAAGAATGCAATTGATATTAAATATGTTAAAAATGCATCAAAAATTGCTATAAACACTATTTCAGGAATATATTTCAATTAGAGACATAAATAAGACATATTTCATTTTTGCTTTCATTTACAAGTCTTATATGTTCAAAAATATTAACTTTTAACCCTAATAACGCAATTCATATTTCTATGAAGTAGAGGAAGGAAGGAAATTCATTAGTTTATTACAAAAATTATGTATGTAAGTATGCAAACACGTTTTATAACATTGTCATCCAAAGTCCAGTTTAGCATATAGCCCTGGAAGTAGTTGTTTCTGTTAAAGGGCGACTGGACTTAATATCGGATAGGAGGTATGTTGGCAATCGTCTTTATTTTCTAGTTGGGAGCAATCTGGGTCATTGATATATATTTATTGTTTTTACATAATATATTTGGTTACTAGACATCAAAGTGAGATCACCTAACGCTGAATCTAATTTCACACGAAGACCGGCACATTACTATCAAAAACACTCAGGCAACTTTAAAAATTTGTTCGAAAGCAATAATACACAAACATTTAAAAGTTCATAAGGTTTTTATCGGTGGATTCCTCACAATTTACCTTAGAAAGAAGACGGTGTAAAATGATGGAGATCTGCACTAGATCGATTTGACCGTGGATCGTGTGCAACATTATCACAGATGACGAAATATGAATACACTGCTTTGATCCCGAAAAAAATGTAGTCAACCATTGTGATGTCAAGCAGGTTGACTACAAGATACTTGACAAGATAAATTTTCAGTATGGTAAACTTATTTTCTCACCAAAAAGTATTGCAAATCAGTAACAAAATAGCTTAAGAACAACAAACCTTAAAAAACATATTTATTTTACTTTCAGTGAGCATTCCAGCTAATCCTTTGTCATTTGGATCCTCGTCATTATTAGCATCATCTTTATTATCGTCATCGTCGTCGCATTCATCATCATCTTCAGCAACTTCAGAAATAACTACAAAATTGAATATAATCAATTTATCAAGTACTGCAAAACCATTGTCTGCCACAAAATCATCAAATTCCGTTTCTGACAAATTAGTAGAGACTTCGACAGGTACAGAAAACATTCCAATAGAGACTTCCAGTCGAGTTTCAGAAAATAGCACTTCCAATGGTAACAAATGTTGCATAGTTATGGGTAAGTTTAATATCAATAGAAATTGATTAAATTTACATACATTTTTATTAATACTTTTTTTTTAAATTTAAATATTAGCAATTATTGTCAATCGGAATCATTCACATCTCAAAGGGCTCCATCGTAATACAAAAACATCAACAATAATAATTATTAGGGACAAGAGTAGCCATATATGAGTGGTTGAGATTGAATATGGTTTAGAAGTAGTTGTTTCATCATCAAGCACTCCTATCCTAAATAGAGAGTCGTGGAGTCAATGTATTGAGAAGTGGAAAATATTTAATACAAAAAATTAAAATTGAACAAAAAATCAATTGAAGGTCTAAGAGAAGGGTTAGTAATAATTTGACTTACCATGCATCCATTACAGATAAGCTAGGTAATTTTAACATAAAAAGAGTTAATGGTTACCATGTAAATTTATATTACATTAAAATTGATTTTTGTTTTAACTAAAACCCGAGAGCACCAAATTAAATTTAAATTTACATTAAAAACATTAAAAAAATTTTAAAAACGAGGACTGGACAAATTAAAATCAGATTGATAAAATATTTATGAAAATGAGATTGTAAAACATTGACGGTCTATCTATAAAATAAGTTACGAACTAAAAATAGGTATCTGTAATGAAAGAAATTTACTGAAAGTAAGTATAGATGGCTCAAAAATTAACAAATTAAAAGTTAATGAAAGGTAAAAATATAAGTAGCAATGAAAATTTTGGCAATAATAGAAAACAATTAAAATCTTTATCTATTCTCGCAAGTTAGATAGAAATTAGTGAACGGACAAACAAAAGAAGAAAATATTTTAAGTTTGCCGTTGTAATGCATGTTGTATGCAGTTGTATGTGTCACAGAATAACCAAGTACCTATGTGTTTTGTTTGCAGTTTTAATGTACACTAGGTATATAAAAAAATCCAAAGTCAAATAAAAATACTTATCACAAGAAACACAAATACCAAAAACTAAAAAAAAAAAACTAATCAAATCAACATAAGCATGAACAAATGATAAAGACGTAAAGAGACATAAATTTTAAGCTAAACATATGTCAAATTGTGGGTTCCTGAAAATATTCCATGTGCCCATGCCCTGGATTTAAAATCCAGAGAATAATCAGAGATTTTTCCAACTGTTCCCAATCAGTTGGCAATCTCTTCATTTGTTTCTACGAACACCAAACTGATAACACTGGCAGACAAAAAAATATTTCTTTGTTGTAACACAAAGCTGCATAACATATTGTAGTAGAATGCACCTATCCAAATACGAAAATGAGAAAAAAAGTCTTAACACGTCAGGTTTTCTTGTTACATTTATAGAACCACATTTAATGTTACAATACTTAATAACTATTGAAAAACTAGTTTGAGAATTTTTTAATCGTGTATATCGACTATATTTATAGTTTTACGCCTTCTAACAAAATTTACATCTAAGAAAAATGCAAACATCGAAAACATTAATATAAAAAACCAATTAAATTCTATTTTTTCCTTTTATTAGGGGTAATGTCTTTTCTCTTCAAAAACCAACAGTAATCACCCATCATGGCTGGATCCCATTGTCCTTGATAGCGAATTTTCATTGTCCTGATATCTTGATGGAACCTTTCACCCTGCTCGTTACTGACAGCTCACTGACATTCAGGCACTAAGCCATTTGTAGGAATCTAAAAGTTCATTAACTAACTGTTGGTAGTTTGCATCCATATTGTTGCCCAAAAATCCTCTTACTACACTAACAAATGAGTTCCATGCTCTGAGTTCCTGCCTGGTAAGCTTCTCTGTAAAATTAACATCGTCCAGCAATTTTCTGATTTGTGGCCCAATAAAAATCCTTCTTTTAATTTGGCATCACTTAACTTGAGAAAGACTTGTCTTAGGTATTTGAATCCATCACCGTCTTTATTCATAGCCTTCACAAAGTTTTTCATTAGCCCTAGTTTAATGTGAAGAGGAGGCATTTTTGGGGTCTGCAAAAGGTCTAAACTTTACATTTTGAGATCCCGGTTGAAACTCCCTTCTTTCTGGCCAAATTTTTGTTATATAATGCTGATTTACTGAACGACTGTCCCATTAACAAAGGAAATAGCAATATTTTGTAAATCCTCTCTGAAGTCCCACTAAAATTCCTATAACTCTCCACATATCTGCCATTAATACCTGTTGTAGTTTATTTTATCTAAAAGCGTGAGCATTTTATTAAAAGTAAAAAAAATGGAATAAAGGGTACAAAAACTACAATTTATAATTTTAATCATCTTCCTCTTCATCGTCGTCTTCCGGCTGCTGGTAAATTTCAAACTGGTCTTCATTATCGTCTTCAACGACATTTGTTTCAAGTTCTTCCATGATTTCGGGGTCAAAGGTTCCATCTTCGTTAATGTCGCTCTGATATGGTAGAGCATTGAGACAAGCTTGCCCATTACATTGGCCACAAGCTAAAGAGCATTGCAAGCCCGCTTTCCTGCATCCGCATCGCGAACCACAACCACTCTTGCAGTTGCAGAAAATTGTATTTAGCAAATCTTCTGAAGCAGGTGGTAAAATTATCATGATAGGCTCCAGAAAATCGTTTCGCATTGCCCAACCCCATATCTGGTAATATTTGCAGCTTGTAATTTTTCAATTAACATATTAATGAGCATATCTTTGTTATTTCGATTTGATAAGAATTTTTCTTGAGTAACTGGTACAACCATTGTTTCATCGAAACAGACTTCATACGTTTTTGAAAGGGCAGCAGTTCTTCTCTGCTGCTCCATAGCTTTTACGTTCTTACTGTAGTCTAAATTTTTTTAAACAAAATTTGTAGAGAATTTTGTATTCTACAATATTGATAATAAATACAAATAGCAAAAAACCCATAGGAAATGAGATATTTACAAAAAAAGCGCAAAAAACCGATTTTTGTGACCTTTGACCTTGAAATTTAATAGTTGCGTACACCCTACCATATGTAGGTTTTGAGACAACTTTTATGGTGTCAATATAGAAGTATTTACATACTTACAGCTGGGTATCTCAAATTCCGAGATTCTTACCTAATTTAAGCTTAAATGACTGGACTAAGACAATTTGCGCTTATTTGCAATGTGAGGGTATAGTACGCAGCACTTATAACGCAAATTATTACGTGCCCCCGGTACAAATGCCTGTGTTGAATTGAGTCTACAAAGACTATATGTATGTTTCAATTAATTCACATTTTTTCTTCTATATTTTCAGGGAGAGAGTACCAAATTGGAGATAAGTTACCCCACGATACAGGCAATTGCTTAGAATGTATTTGTGGCCAAGGAGCCAAAGTCACATGTTCTCCACATCAATGTGCACCAGTAGAGGATGATATGAACGACTATCACTTGTCCGGTGCCAGGCAGCAAGTAGTCCCCGATATATTTTAAGTTTTACAATGTAAAGACTAGATAATATTTTTTATTTATTTTTATTATTAATTTATTTAATATTCAGGATTGGTAAAAAACAGATTTGTGTACATTTATTAAATATTATTAAATAGAGTTTTAGAGCAGTTGTCAAAATTAATAAAAATATGCATTGTTAATATTAATTGGGAGTTCTGTATAATATAAGTAGATATAAAGCGTTAGGAAATAGTACTACTGGTAAAAACAAGGTTACATTTTAGATATATTTTTTTGGTGGTAGTTTCAAAATCCAACTTCTCCAATGACCTAATTTACTTCAAATCAATTCATAATGCCAAATCATGCATTTATGCTGTCAAAAGTTGAAAAGTATAATATTCTGTTATGCTGAAATTAATTTTTAAATCACTGACATTTATGTAGAATTCATATGGCCGATTGACAATTATCTAATATTAAAATATGCATTTACGGACAAAGCGCATTATTTGGCATCGAAAATGTAATTGATTATAGTCGTATGTGATAAATGATATAAAATTCTGAACTATATTATGAAAACGTTTGCCTATAATATTTGTAAAAAAAATTCTTCATAAAAAGTTGTGCATGGCCTAAAAACTAAAATAGAACCGTCTGATATGAAATTTTATTATTCGTATACGAGGTTATAAAAAAAATTGATTTTCTATTTTGTTCTAGAGTAGATTACTTTTATTTTAGACAAACTTCGTAACCGACTAATAAATTTGATATCAGATGGTTGAATTTTTTTAGGTGGTAGATTTTTAAGTTTTAGTTTTAAGACCATGCACAATTTTTTACAAAGATTAACTTTGTTTCCAATAATTAATAATAAACAAATTTTTCGTATACCCTAAACTGGGCGCAACCGAGTTGGGCCAACTACCTGCTATAATCCCTGTTATCCTCTTGGCTATTTTAATCCTTTAAACTCATTAAAGGGCTATGTTGAGTTAGGCCAGAAAATAAATATTCTTATTTGTAAACAATGTTTATTTCATATAGGTTCAAATACATAATAAAGTATACTATTTAGTGCATATTTAAAAGAAATGCATTGAACAAAATTGAATCTACTTAATTCATTACATTCCAATTGTCGGAGTTTTTCCGATAATTATAGTTTTCTTAATAATGTGAGGATGTAGTTTTTTCACATACTTGTTAGCGCTTACAATTTTTTCATATGTTTCTGTTTGAAAGTTAAGTAAAATTTCCACAAACTGAAAAATATTCGGATGGCAAGAATAAAAATGGCTATTAAATAATGAATGAAATGACTCACAAGAATTTGTGGTACGTGTCATCGAATCTGAGGCTGAAGCCCATACAAACGGCGAAAATGTAGCGTTTGCCCCAATATAGTTATCTACTAAATAGTCGCAAAATTCAATTACTTTTTGGTTACCTACTACATCATTGTTTTCAAACAAATCAAATGCAAAACAGTCACCGACTTCTTCTGGTTTTAGAAATGGAAGACCAAAGAAATATTTCAAATATTTTTCTACTTGATTTTCTGAAAGGTAATCAGCGCTTAATCCTAAATATTGAATTTTTCGATACCAGGCTTGAGATAAATGAAAGCGACAGCCTATTATTTTTACGTTTTGCCACATACCTTTAACTGCATTATGAATCGCTAACTCAAAATCAATTACAACAAAAGAAGGTTTAAAGTAAAGACTTGTTTGACATTTTGCATCCAATAACTCAAGTAATTTAAGATACACAGATTGTGATTTTGAAGGCAATAAGCAAAAAACTAAAGGTATATAGTATCCATTTTTGTAACCGTGAATTGTAAAAAACTGTACAAAATATTTGGTCGAATATTAAAATGTACCGTACCATATAAACAGTGTCAACTGAACATCAAAAATTAAAGTTGCTTCTGCAACCAAACACAATTATCTGTGAAGGCCTGTCGCAAATAGAAAGATATCTTCGTTTTTATTTGTGATAGGATTCATCTTACCTAAACAAGTAAAAACATCCTCTTGATTTTTGGGGAACGTGGGCATAACAGAACGTCTTGCGCCATAAATGTTTTTTCGCACTCTATGAATATCGTGCAAGGTGATATCGTCACAAAACTCGCTCTTCCTTAATTCTTTTAATGCCATTGCTAAGGGCCTGTCGTTGAAGAGTGTTGTCTTCCTGATGGTTGAGATTGACATCACTTTTCTCGTCTATTAGTTGGTCACGAAGGATATGATATAAATCTTGGCTGAAGACTTGTTTTTTTTAACACATCGCCATCGCACTACACCATTGGCAGTAGTATTTGCCTCACAAAATTTAAAATTGCCTATAATTAACAACTTTTTCCCCTTTTCGCTAAAAATATATTTGACTTCCATGATCGTAATGTATACTCGGTGACAAAGACAGAATAAAATAATAATTTTCTATTTTCCTTGCATCCGTAATGTATCTACACATCATTCTCCTAATTACTTATTAATACTCCTAATTAATAATTGACAAGGGATTAAAGAAGGTCGCTGGCCTAACTCAACTACCTAGATTACGCTACTCGCAGCGCTGGCCTAACTCAGCTTCCTCGCCTAAACCTCTCTATACAGGGTGTCCCAATAAAATAGACCAATCCGTTGACCATAGATTCCTTAGGTCAGTGTATTATTATTGTTATTATGACAAAGTAAATTTTAAAAAAATACGTATTTCATTATATTAAGTAAATGACTTAAAATTGGCATGCCTGGGTTTTTTGGAATAACAAATAATAATTTTTTGGGATGACAAATACTAATTTGAGCATAAATATCACCTACCTCATAAAGGGCGCTAGCTCTATTGAACATGATGGCCCCAAACGAAAAAAAAAAAAAATTGATGTTTCTATACACTGACACAAGGAATCTATGGCTAACGAATTGTCCTACCTTTTTTGGGATACCTTGTATATACTGTAAATGTATACAGGGTGTTAGTAAATTCGACCGTCAATGTTCTACCACAGAAGCTCTCGTTGAATAATAAATTTTGATATCGGAACATGGATCCTTAACCCGGTGCCCGACAGGTGGGATAGCATTACGAGTTCAGACACGTGGGGTGTGACATACCCCATTAAAAAAATCTTGAATATGGTCCTACATTTTTTATTGCAAATTTTCATATAAATATTTTTAATTTTATTTACAAAATAAAGAGGTTCTATGAAAATAAAAGTTTATTATAAAAAAAAAATAACATTTATTTTTTCATTCAAACAACTTTAGATGTCAGGAGAAATTGTAAAAAATAAAAAAAGATTTTTATATAGTTGTATACAGTAACGGCTTGTGACAGAATATAGATGTCAGTGCAGACGTATGAAAAAACTTTCAGTGTTTTAGAAAGTTTTTAATATACCTTTCTGAAATACTTATAGTTTTTTACTTACATCTGTACCGGGATCTATATTCTGCTACTGTGAACCCCCAAAATTTTGGTCACAAGCCGCCCCTGGGTGTATACATAAAAAGGAAAACATTATTGGTTGTTTTTGAATATTGAACAGTGATCACAAAACTTTATGGCATTCTCAAGGCATATGAACTTTTCACAACCCCGGCAAACATATTTTGATTTTGTCTGTGGCACGGGGACAAATCGAGCATCTTCCTTGCTGGCCTGGTCTCTTTTTTTGCAAGTGGTTCTGGATTTTCCCCCAAAAGGTTTAAGATGGTGCCCCTTAACTCTCGCGTGATTCTGGGATTTTCCATCCGGCTTTTTTGGTGTTCCTCTACTAATTGAATTCCCAACTCCTAGAGAAAATATCATCTCTGCATTTTTAGTCTGTTATTATTCTCTCTATGTATAATCTGGCTGTTGATACCAGCAGAGTTGAGAAGAGAGAAAAATACTGTTAGAGGCCATCGTCGGCTGCTACGGGATACATTATATGAGGCTGGAAGCTCATCTACCACATCTACTCCGCATTTAGTAAAATTATTAAATAAAACTATTTCTGGAAGCTTTTTATCTATGTCATCAATGGTATTATCGTGATGCATGGAGGACAGCAAAAGAACGATTTAACCTTTTTTGGGCAGTAGGATAGAAGCGTATTTTTGTTTTGGAAACCAAACAGAGATGACGATACCTGTCTTTGCTTCACGTTCAGAAATTCAGGTGGGAGAGTTTGTGCTTATCACGAAGATAATTCATAAAGTCTAGAGTGGTATACCAGTTATAAAACGTGATATTGCGTTTCATTCCTGACAAACCACTAAACGATTCACTATATCCTTGGAGCTGTTGCTAAGTCTGAACGGCCCTTCAGGTTGATAACCGACATAAACTTCCATATTCAGAAGATAGTAGGTTCTCGTATCTACAAATGCGTGCACCTTTATGCCATATTTCGCAGGTTTATTTGGCATTTATTGCCTAAAAGAGCATCTATCGCGAAATGACTCAAGTTTCTTGTCTATTGTAAGATACTCAGAAGAAGTATAGGCGTCTTGGCAGTTTTAAATAAATTTATCACAAATGGCTCTAATGTGTGCCAGCTTATCGAGTTTTAATTTATCAGCACGATTGTTCTTGTAGTCAAACCGCAAGCATAATACTAAGAATTCAAAGCACCTCATTGCCATTGTATTGTGGAAGATATCCATTCCTGTTCCATCGTTTCCCAAAGTTCATATAAATTTCGATAATTAATTTTAAACATGAACACTCTTGATAGAAAAGGAAGTCCAAAAACAGCTTTGAGTTCTGCAATGGATGTAACGTCATAACGTAGAGAGCTTTTCCACTTTTCAGATTTCTCCAGGATTCTCAGATTTGTGGTTTAAACGATATCTGTGAAAAGTTGCTCGTCAAAAAAAGCAAGAAACAATATTTTGGAGTTTTTCTGATTCAAACACGCCTATTTGGAGTATCTTTGAGCCAGTTGGTTTAATCTTTTCCTTGAAAGAAACTATGCTCATTCGTTCCAGTTTCTTCTTGGATATCGTCCTTATGTCAGGGTAGTCACTACAAATACTAACGTTATCCACTTCGACCTCTCGGTTTGAGTCATCTCTATCAATTGGTTCATACTCCGCTTTAATATCTTTCCACAGAGCCCAAAGACGCTCCTGCTCTTTTTCAGAATCGCCCATAATTATTGCAAAGCCTGAAAATATGCATAAAACGGGCATAAATAAAGTCGTGAAAAGAAAAAAAATGCCAACTTACCTCCAAAACCTGCGATGGAAGTGAAAAAATACACTATAACTACAACTCTATTACCGACACGTGGGGTGTGACAAACCCAAACCCGAAAAATCGACGTGCTACCTCTTCGAACTGATATCGTCGGCTGGCGCAGCATGTGCGGCTTGCAGAGCTGGCGCAGAAAGTTGTAAACAGAAGCTACTCAGTCGTTCAAGGCCAAACGAAGCAAATCTTGTAATCAGAAGACGAAAGGAGTGTGTCACTTCACTCGTGTCGGGTGCCGGAATCAAAAGACGAATGGGGTGTGTCACGCCCCACGTGTCGGGCGCCGGGTTAAAGAGTTCAGTTATCGAGATACATGTTGATACAAATTTTAAATCAAAATTTGACATAAATCAAAAATGTATTCAAATATATTTTTGATCTACTAAGGTTTTGCCAAATTCATGAACTATTATAAATTTGACACGTTCTTATTGGATTAGAATTTAGAAAGTTGTTATATATAAAGGCGTTTTTGATTTAGGGTAATTTCAACCTTATATCATCTTGTAACTGGGTAACGAAGCCCTTTAAGGGTCTATTTTCCTATATCAGAATTCATCAGTTATCAGGAGCTCTCTG